TCCGCCTCTACCACCTCTTCTTCCGCCGTGTCCTCAGCCGCCACCCCCGTGCCAAGTCCCCCATTACCCGACCGGCATATCACATGTGCAGGGCGCAACGGTGTCACGCTGTGCTGCACCTGGTATGCCTTGGCGAACGTAGTCACACAGGGGAGGAACTTCTGAGTGTAATGAACAGAGAAATCGACAGATGGCTGTCTCCGCGCAAACTCAAAATCGGAACCATGTTGACCGACAACGGAAAGAACATGGTGTCTGCTCTGCGTCAAGGAAGGTTGTGCCATGCGCCATGCATGGCTCACGTGTTCAATCTGGTTGTCAAGCGGTTCCTAAAATCCACCATCCCACTGAAAGACATCCTTAAAATGTCACGTAAACTTTGCATGCATTTCAGCCATTCCTACACCGCAAAGCACACCCTCCTTGAGCTGCAGCGGCAGAACGGAATTCCACAGCATCGCCTGATCTGCGACGTTGCAACAAGGTGGAATTCAACCCTACATATGTTAGAACCGCCTTTACGAACAGCGAAAGGCCATCACCGATTTCCTGATGTTACAAGCGGATAAAGGTACTCCCCTGTGTAACTTAGATGTCAGCCATTGGCAGCTCATGCATGACACCTGCCGCTTGCTCAGGCCCTTTGAGGAGGCCACGCTATTCGTGAGTCGGCAGGACTATGGGATGAACAACGTCATTCCTCTGTTGCACGTCCTGGAACAAATGCTGTTAACAATGGCTGGTCAGGGTGCGGTAGACGTGGCGCACAGATCTCAACGCCACATGACCCCTGTGGGGGCAGGACAGGAAGAAGAGGAGGAGGTAGGAGGACGACATTGGTGCTCAGGAATTATTGAGTGAAATGGGTGTTTTTTCCACTCAGCGGACAGGAGTGGAGGAGGAGCAGGAGCATCTGGTAGAGGAGGAGGAGGAGACAGAGGACCCAGACGCACCGTGGCAGTATGCTGTGGAGATGGAGGCAGGGAGTCCCCCGCATTCCTTGGCACAAATGGCCCATAGCATGCTCGGTTGCTTGCGTAGCGACAGCCGAATAATATAACCATCAGACAGAGGGATGACTTTTGGCTGTCCACCTTGTTGGACCCTCGCTACCGTTCAAAAATGGTGGCCTTTTTCACACCTGCTGAGAGGGAGGCCTTGATAGTCGTCTCCCCACACTGCTGCTGGGGGGACTTTTTAACCTAGGCCTGTGTATGGCCTTCAATTGAAGCTGCTTCCGCTCCGCCACTCTGCCATTGGACTCTTGATAGTCGTCTCCCCATGCTGCTGCTGGGGGGACTTTTTTTAACATAGGCCTCTGTATGGCCTTTAATTGAAGCTGCTTACGCTCCGCCACTCTGTCATGGGCCTCTTGGGTATCCCAGAAGCTGCTCAGCGGGGTCAGGGCAATAAAGCTCCCGGTTCGCAGGTTGTATTTCCGTCTTACGGATGGAAGTACGACGGTATATGATCTTCTTCGCACCCACGGCATCACCTCATAGAATCTCTGCATTGCATCTGCAATCACAACGCTGACTTCCCGGATCGCCACTCAGCCATTGGACTCTTGATAGTCGTCTCCCCACACTGCTGCTGGGGGGACTTTTTAACCTAGGCCTGTGTATGGCCTTCAATTGAAGCTGCTTCTGCTCCGCCACTCTCTGCCATTGGACTCTCGATAGTCGTCTCCCCACGCTGCTGCTGGGGGGAACTTTTTAACCTAGGCCTGTGTATGGCCTTCAATTGAAGCTGCTTCTGCTCCGCCACTCTGCCATTGGACTCTTGATAGTCGTCTCCCCACACTGCTGCTGGGGGGACTTTTTAACATAGGCCTCTGTATGGCCTTCAATTTAAGCTGCTTACGCTTCGCCACTCTGCCATGGGCCCCTGTACCGCCTCCTCTTGCTGCTGCCTGGTCCAGAGTGTGTCATGGGTCCCTGTACGGCCTCCCATTGCTGCTGACTTCATCGCCAGACTCTGCCATGTGCCACTTTCAGGTCTCCTTACACTGTTGGTGGGTTCCATTTTGTGATGGGGTGCTGTATGGCCTTCCATTGCTGCTGCCTCCACCGCCACCCTGCGCCATGTGCCTCTGTCGTCTGCTCACACTGCGGACGGCTTCCGCGCTTTTTAACCGAGGCCTGTGTTTGGCTTCCGAATACTGCTGCATCCACCGCCACCCTGCGCCATGTGTCTCTGTCGTCTGCTCACGCTGCTGACTGCTTCCGCTTTTTAACCTAGGCTGTATGTGTATGGCTTCAGAAAAATGCTGCCTACACTGCCACCCTGCGCCATGTGCCTCTGTCGTCTGCTCACGCTGCTGCCAGGTCCATACTGATTCATGGCCCCCTGTACCGGCTCCTCATGAACGTGGTTCAGCGGGTTTGCATCACTTAACGGCAAATTGTTGACAAACGCTGGGACGTTCAGTGTTGTGCGCATTAAGCCAGACACCAAAGGGCAGCACAGACCTGTTATTACTCGCTCAAGCATGGCTGAACAAAACCAGTCTCTACCACAAATTGGACCCAGACTTGCCCAGGGTCTCGTAAGTAGATTGCACGGAGGAGTAGAGTTCGTTATTGGAATTAACTGTGAGGGACTTTTAAACCTAGGCCTGTGTATGGCCTTCAATTGAAGCTGCTTCTGCTCCGCCACTCTGCCATTGGACTCTTGATAGTCGTCTCCCCACGCTGCTGCTGGGGGGACTTTTTAACATAGGCCTCTGTATGGCCTTCAATTTTAGCTGCTTACGCTCCGCCACTCTGCCATGGGCCCCCGTACCGACTCCTCATGCTGCTGCCAGGCCCGTAATCTGCCATGGGCCCCCGTACCGACTCCTCATGCTGCTGCCAGGCCCGTAATCTGTCATGGGCCCCTGTACCGCCTCCTCATGCTGCTGCCAGGTCCAGAGTGTGTCATGGGTCCCTGTACGGCCTCCCATTGCTGCTGTCTCCATCGCCACACTCTGCCATGTGCCACTTTCAGGTCTCCTCACACTGCTGGTGGGTTCCATTTTGTCATAGGGTGCTGTATGGCCTCCCATTGCTGCTGCCTCCACCGCCCACACTGTGGCTCCACACTCTGGTTTTGGCCCCGTGACTGCCCAAATGAGTGAAGTGTGCGGTGATTCTAAGATCGACGGCACTCATCTGCATGTCATACTGACTGTCAGTATTATTTCTCTTCCCCATCAGACTCCAAGGGCATTTAAATTAAAGGTACAGTGTTCTGCACTAATATAAAGGCTCTCTGAAGCCTAGAAACACCCTTTTTATAAGTTAAATTCGCAGCGAATATATTCGGCTCGAAGCGAATTTATTCGGCGAATTCGGCGAATCAGCCGAACCGAATTTTTGAATAATTCGCTCATCTCTAGATAAAATGCTTTTGGAGTAAAAATCTATGAAAATACAACTTGATAAAAATCCTAAAAATCTAATTTAAATAAAAAGAAAAAATAATCCAATTTTAAAATTTTGTTTGTTTTTGTTTAAAATCATCGATTTTTATCCACCCTGTCACTTAGGCTCAGAAACTGTGCTGCTGATTCACACATGCGGTTTCTAACGAAGGTATTTATGTTTGATATCACATGCTCAGTTTGACTACTGAGTTTAGAACCCCCAATGAGCCTAAACTGTGCCTATATACTTCCCTGATGCTCCCTGGGAGCTCCATAAAACCCTGGACATCAGTCTCTTTAATCAGATCTGAGCACCGTCATATGAGGGGCACATCTAGTCTTCTGCAAATACCAACTTTTAAAAAGTCAAATTCTGGTGTGGTCTACCAGGATGCTTAACCCCTTCACACCGGATCGTCCCGGCGTGAAGAGGGTTCAGGAGGTGGGCGGGGCTTAGTGTCACGTGGCCTCCGTGACGTCACGTCACGGGGCCGGTCATATGATCGGGAAAGGTCCCGATCAAAAGAGTGGACCGGGACCTTTCCGTGAGTACCACACGTGTGCTGGGAGCGCGCAGGGTGTGCGATATCAGCACATATGTTTTTTGTTACATGAACACAAATGTGCGGCCGCTCGATATCTAGGCCCAGACGCCGGGGGGGCCGCACATTTGCATGCAGCTGGCGTGAAGGGGTTAAGAAGGATAGGAGTATTGTTACTGTACAACAGGGTGCCTGCTATTAGGAAAAGCTCCATCGAGTATGACTTTGGCCCATTTACAAGTTTATGTTTCTAACTTTTAGCCCGGGTTCACACTCGTGCGGTGCGGTACATCGCATAATTCACACAGGAACCGCACCGCATTCCTGTGCAAATCACATGCGAATTGTAGGCGATGCGATTACAGCCATATATTATGTCGGGCTCCAATTGCACCGCATCAAAAAGGAGCAGGACCCTTTTTTGGGTCTGCACTAGAATCAGATCGCATGGGTATTCACACACCTATACGATCCGATTCTGCACATCGCACCGCCTTTCGCGGTCTAATTTCGGGGTGTTAACTTAACATGCACACCCGCAGTGGTTCGCATGAATGGGGTGCGATTTTGATGCGGAGCGGAATTCACACAGAAAACCCCTGCGAATTCCGGACCGCATCAGTGTGAACCCGGGCTTAAGTTAAATAAAGGGAATTTTTCTTTGACTGTCCTGGACATCCACTACATTGAACACTATAAAACAGGACAGGTTCACCCACAGAGCCATTTCCCCACAGGCATAAAGCACGCTCCCACACCATCCCACTCAGGCATCAACAGCAAGGCTCTTACTTTCCATTCATCATACATCAGCATCAGAGGCTGGTCAGTAGCTCTGAGGAAAGGGATTTGTCCCTGAAACGCGTCAGCCATTTGACCGCACTGACAGTGAGAACACCTTGCCCGCCGTTGTGGCCATTGTCATTTTTCTATGCTTTTTAGATACATGCTTCGTCTGTGAGTATGTTTTTATTATTCTTTTACTCCTACAATAAACCTTGGATAAATGCACTAGGTGTGTGCGCCACCTGTTTTCTCTCTCACCCACTTACCTATGCCCAGGTGAGTGTTTATGGAGGCATATCTTGCGGTGCCGGTTAAGTTCTTGTTTTCGCGATAGGGTATATGCTGGTGTGTGCGGGCATCTCTGTATTTCTTCGCAAGGCCAAAATCTATGATGTAGACCAGATTTCCTTTCTTGCCGAGGCCCATTAGAAAGTTATCTGGCTTGACATCTCGATGAATGAAGTTCTTGGAATGGATGTACTCAATGCGACTAATCTGCAATGACAAGAGAGAAAAAAATATCCATGTATCAAGTCGAGCTGGCCATCAAAAAGCTGCCATAAGGGGTGCAAATTGGTATTGGTATGCCCAAATACACATCAATCAAGCTACCACTTCTTATTCATCAGCAAACCAAACCAGGCGGAAGGCACAAGTACAGCTGTCAATCCGCAAAATGATCTAGAAACAAAGAGCAGCAGCATCCTCGATTGCACATTGACCTGTACAGGGGTGTGGAGAATTCTGAAAAAACGACTTGTCCAGGGACTAAATTGGGGTCCCAATCTACTTGTCCCTCATGACAATATACTTGTCTGCTTGTAACATTTTTTTTTTTTAACCAAAACCGTACTGAAATCGGAGGCGATATTAGGAATGTCGGGGGATTTTAAAATCAAAAGCGGCTTTATGGCAACTTAAACGTTTAATTTTTTAACATTGCGCTGTTTATCTCCTCCTCCCTTGCAGTGTAATGAGCACCGATTGGTTGCTCGTCCTGAAAGGGGAGTGTCCGGCTTATCCTTTATACCTTTCGCTGCCAGAACCATTTTTGCGATTTCTTGCACAGGTTTTTTTCTTGCACAGGCCGGAGATTCCATGCCAGCACCCGGCGATGGCTGAGCAACACTGACAGGGGAGAGACCTGCATGTAAACAACAAAAGTCTCTCTCCTGCCAGCAAAAACATGCTGCTGTATACTTCTCTACAGAGCACATCATGTAAATCAGCACACAGTTAACCCTTTGATCGCCCCAGATGTTAATCCCTTCCTGCCCAGTGGCCATTAGTAGAGCAGTGCTTTTTATTAGCATTGATCACTGTGTTAGTGTCACTGGGGATGTCAAGGGAAGTTAGTTCCCACCAATGTCAGAATGCCTGCTACAGTCTTGCTATAAGTCGCTGATCACCGCCATTACTAGTGTATGTATATTTTATATATATATATATATATATATATATATATATATAAATTCCAGTATATACACACACTGACATTTGTAGATGCTAGAACCTTCACGTAAACCAATTCATTTACATGTATTGGGATTTTTTTTTTTCAGCAAAGACATGAATCAGACTACGTTTGCCTAAATTTATGAAGTTATATTTTTTACTGGACAAGTTTTATAGCAAAAAGTCAAAAATATTTTTTTTTTCAAAATTGTGGGTCTTTTTTGTTTATAGCACAAAAAATAAAAAAACACCGGTGATAAAATACCACCGAAATAAAGCTCTATTTGTGGGAAAAAAGCACATAAAAATGTAAATTTATGTACAGCGCTGCATGACCGCGCAATTGTCAAAATAACGCAGCTCTGTATCGCAAAAAAACGGCCTGGTCAGGAAGGGAGGTAAATCCTCTGGAGGACAAGTGGTTAACAAGCTCATGCTATTGTGGGGATAGGTCCTTACTGATTGCAAACAATAGGCTATGCAGTGTTCTGATGTCCAACACCTACACTGCACCTGGTAGCCAGACACCATGTGATCGATGCCCTAGGCTGGGAAAAAGACAGACGAGTACAAAAATTTTGCACTGGTGCTTTAGCCCAAGTGTAAATTTTACTGATCGGTCTACTTCTACAGACCAGTCAGATCTGACTCGTGCATCAAAAAAAGTAAAAGCTTCAGGATTGTCTACTAGAGAGATAAACAACATGGGCGGCACAGTGGCTTAGTAGTTAGCACTTCCGCCTGGCAGTACTAGGGTCGTTGTTTTGAATCCCAACCACAGCACCACCTGCCTGGAGTTTGCATGTTCTCCCTGTGCTTGCGTAGGTTTCCTCCGGGTAATCCAGTTTCCTCCCACACACCAAAAGACATGCTGGTAGGTGAATTGGCTCCTGTCTAAATTGTCCCTAGTATGTGTATGTATGAATGTGAGTTAGGGACCTTAGATTGTACGCCCCTTGAGGGTTAGGGACTGATGTAAATGTACAATATATATATATGTGAAGCGCTGCGTAAATTGACGGCGCTATATAAATACCTGAAATAAATAATGTCAAGTAATCCTGTAGAGCAGTGGTTCTCAACTTGTGGGTCGCGACCCCTTTGGGGTCGAACGACCCTTTCACAGGGGTCCCCTAAGACCATCAGAAAACACATATTTCCGATGTGTAAAGAGCAGCTACTGTGTAGAAAGTAGCTGCTGTGTTGAAAGCAGCTACTCTGTTAAAAGCAGCTACTGTGTAGAAAGCAGAAGTACTGGAGGTAAAACAACATTCATGAATTATAATTACTGGGTAAATAATTTTTTATGGTTGGGGGTCACCACAACATGAGGAACTGTATTAAAGGGTCGCGGCATTAGGAAGGTTGAGAACCACTATTCTAGAGGATGCTACAGCTTGATTTGAACATGCAAAGAATAAAAAAACAAAAAGCTTCATTAAAAATTGACTTTTTGGAAGGGTCGGCGTTAAAATAACGACCGGATATTTGTACTTGCAGAAAATACACTGGTTTCCCTTTAAAGCGATCTTTGTATAACTTTGCACCCCATGACACTGGACAGATGTCGGCAGCAGTAATAGAAAGCAAGCGGCTTGCTACACAAAGCAGCTTTGTTTACGTAGGTAAACACGCTGCCCTGCTGGGCTCCAGGATTAAACTGCAGATAATGGCGGATTCACAAGCAGTACATGGGTGTCTAAACAAACGTGACACTGTGAGAACAAGACTGGTTCCTGGATGTGCATCACTTCAGATCAGTCACTCCTTTCAACCTACCATGACCGCACTTTCTGTTTTGAAGGTGTTGCTAAATAGTTTAGCAAGAAACAAGTCATCCAAAGTGTTCACCCTATACTGGGCGTAGGTTTAGTGAGTCAGACCAATCCCAACAGGCTGTATTTATTCTACATGAACATCTATACCCTGGCGTCACAATTTCATTGTAATTAAATGGGGTGATGAAGCTCAATTCCCCAAGGATCAATCAGCTTACAAGAAAGCAAACAAAAGAGCAAAATAACAAAAATACAGCTGGATAGTTTCATCATGACGTGCCACGACCTCCTGCAATGTTTATTCTCCAGGGCTCCACAAGACATCCTACTACTATCTTGCACACCCTTCAGTTAGAGATAGGATCTGGTAAATAAGAGATACTTCAGTTTGTTTGTTTTTTTATTTAATACTGTAGAGAAAAAATTGTCACAAAAAAAAAAAAAAAGGAAGGAGACAGAGCTTTGTAAATCTTAGGACTGGATGTGAAAAAGTTTTTGTTTTTTTTTATCTCTGCCTATTTTTTTTTTTTTTTTCTGCTAGCACATTTTTCTTTTCTACTTTGTTTTTCTCTTTTCATCTCTACTTTGCTGGTAAAGCTAATTTTTTTCAATTTGTAGCTACCCAGCATGGCAGTCCTTGATCTGGCTTTTGGGTTGCCATGCCTTGACGTTGCCTGGTTAGCATGGAAATGGCCTTCACACTTGGTTCTGTATAGGGTGCTTTCCAGACCCCATCTTGGTAAAAATACACTGTTCATGACTTTCCAAGTCCAAAGCTGCTGGCATTGCCTCAGTCCCGTCTTTAAAGATTGACATTGTGGGATTTATTTACTAAAGCTGGAGAGTCCAAAATCAGACTCCCTTCTGCATAGAAACCAATCAGCTTCTAACCTCAGCTTGTTCAATGAAGCTTTGGCAATGAAACCTGGAAGCTGATTGGAGAGTGCAAAATCAGACTCACTTCTGCATAGAAACCAGCTTTAGTAAATAAACCCCTGTGAGTCGGGCTAAGCAGAGGGTGCTACCTCAATAAGGCTACTTTCACAGCGGCAAAAATTATTTATTTTATTTATTTCAGGTACTTATATAGTGCTGTCTATTTACACAGCGCTTTACATATATATTGTACATTCACATCAGTCCCTAACCCTCAAGGGGTGTACAATCTAAGGACTCTAACTCACATTCATACATACACATATTAGGGACAATGTAGACAGGAGACAATTAACCTACCAGCATGTCTTTGCAGTGTGAGAGGAAACTGGAGCACCCAGAGGAAACCCACACAAGCACAGGGAGAACAGGCAAACTCCATGCAGGAGGCGCCATGGTCGGGAATCGAACCAACGACCCATTTACTGCAAGGCAGACGTGCTAACCACTAAGCCACTGTGCCCCCCATTTATTATTATACAGGATTTATATAGCGTCAAGAGTTTTGCTCAGCGCTTTACAATACAACAATATAAAAATGCATTTTTCTGTGTTTTTACCACGTTTGTGGTGTATTTTTTTTCCTTTTTTTACAGGACATGTGACTCAAAAACTGCACCAAACACACAATGTGGGTGTATTTTTGCCACATTTTCCATTTCAATGTGAAGTTTGAGGTTTTTTTTTTTTTTTTTTACTGCATCAAACCTGAACAAAAATGCAGCAAGCAGGGATTTAAAAAAACGCAGCAGACCCACAGCTGATCAGTGTGAAGAGTTCCATAGGAATACATGGTCACACATTTTTCGTTTTTTTTTTTTTTTTTTTTTTATAAACCAAAAGTGGAAGAAAATGGATCAGTGTGAAAGCAGCCTTACTCTAGGGTACGTGGCCCCTTTGGAAAACATCCCATTTCCTGCCAGTTCCCCCTACACAAGGGGTTATTGCAGTGGAACGGAGTGCTGATGTCATCTCAGAAAATCTTTTCAGGTAGGCCTATCCTGCCTTCAGCTAATGCCAGAACCTTCTATTTTCTCACATTAGTTCATCCCCAGTTAGTACCTTTTGTACCACCAGCCCCTCCCTATTAGATTGTAAGCTCCAGGCGCAGGGCCCTCCTAACCCTCTTGTATTGAACTGTATTGTACTGCAACTCCCTCCTCACTGGCCTGCCTCACCACAGGCTATCCCCGCTTCAGTCAATCCTGAATACAGCAGCCAGACTCATTCACCTTTCCAACCGCTCCATCTCCGCCGCCCCCCTCTGCCAATCCCTCCACTGGCTTCCGATTGCCCAATGGATCAAATTCAAAATCCTAACACTGA